TTTAACCAATCTGTGTTTTTATTGAAGCATTTAGATGATTTACGTTCAGTGTTATTATAGAGAGATGATTTTTATTTCCTGCCATTTTTATTTAATTCTAATGCTCAAGTCAGGCTTGATCATCCTTTAATTGACTATTCTATAGAGATTTAGCTGTACAATAGTTCTGATAGTTATTTTTCATTTCTTCTACATAAAACATTTCAATGAGTATGTTTTATAGTGTTGGCTTAGTGGTTATGAATTCTTTTAGTTTCTGCTTATCATGGAAAGTTTTTCATTCTTAAATTCTGAAGAACAGTTTTTCTGGAAATAATAATCTTGGTTGACACCATTATCTTTAAGGACTTGGTATATAAGACTCCAAATCCTGGGCCAGGGATGTGGCTCAAGCGGTAGTGTGCTTGCCTGGCATGCGTTTGGCCTGGGTTCAATCCTCAGCATCACATACAAACAAAGATGTTGTGTCTGCCAAATACTAAAAAAATAAATATTAAAAATTCTCTCTCTCTCTCTCTCTAAAAAAGAAAAAAAAAATTCCAAATCCTCCTGGCTTTTAGGGTCTAGACTCAGAAATCAGGGAAAGTCTAACTGGCTTACCTGTACTCTAAATGTGACCTGATATTTTTCTCTTGTTGATTTTAAAATTCTATCCTTATTCTGTATATTAGACATTTTAATTATAATGTGTCTTGGAGGGGATCTTTTTTTATCTTGTTTATTTGGGGTTCTGAAAAGTCTCTTTTATTTGGATTTCTATCTCATTCCTAAGGTTTGAAAATTTTCTGATATTTCACTGAAAAGTTATGATGAATATCTCAGTATCTTCCTGTATACCAGTGATTCTTATATTTGGTCTCTTAAAGGTATTCTAGATTTCTTGAATATTCTGGTCATGGTCTCTTAACATCTTTCCTTATTGTCAACTTTCTATTCAAAATTATATACTTGGGGCTGGGGTTGTGGCTTAGAGGTAGAGCCTCATGCATGAGGCCCTGGGTTCAATCCTCAACATCACATAATAAAATAGATTAAAGATATTGTGTCCACCTGTAACTAAAATATAAAAAAAATTTAAAAAGATTATATACTTTGGCTTCAAGGCCTGAAAATCTTTTCTCTTTGTGGTCTAATCTATTGGTGATTCTTTCAGTTGAATTTTTTAGTTGATTTAATTGACTCTTTTCCAGGATTTTTGTTTGATTCTTTTAAAGAGTCTTTCTCTCTATTGAAAGATTTTTCACTTCTTTTATTTTCTTAGTTCATTCCTTACATCTTCTTTGAGTTCATTGAACATATTAAATATTAACTTTCTAAATTCTTTATCTGACATTTCTTCCTCTGGTGGCAATTAGGTCAGTTGTTGAGTGTTGTAAGCTATTTGAGATGGCTTATTCCCTTGTTTTTTCATATTATTTGTATATCTACTGGGATTATTATCTATTCTACTTTTATGCAAGGGATTATTAGTGAGCTTGTTTCTCTTAAGTGCCCCAAGCTGGCAGATATCCAAGCATTGAGACTCCACTCAGTGTGTATCCTCTGCTATGCTCAGTGTCAGCACCACTTTGAGAGAAGATACTAAATCCTGTCAACTACATTCACTTTAGAGCAAAGCCATGATCTAGGGAAACATTCATACATGGGGGAAAAACATACTGAAAATCTTCTACATTTTCCTCTAATCCAAGTGTAAAATTATAGTAATATTTTTGGATAGGTTGAGAAATGAATTATTAGGAAAATTATTATTATACTATATAGATATGACAAGGGAAGAGGAAAAAAATTGGGCAAAGGGAAAAAAGAAAAGAAAATATAGAAAAAATACAAACAAAGATAAAAAGAAGAAAACAGTACATCAGGGAATGGGGGATTTGAGGCAGGAGCAGGTAATTCAAGAGGGAAAAGAGACTGAGAGGAGCAATTATAAACCTGCCCTTGGAAGCAAAATCAAATGATTGCAGTTAATGTTTTAAAACATTAGATGAAATACATTCAAATGGGTTAAGGGAAGCAATATTTTATTTCATACTGCATCATTGTTTCATACTGGAACATTTGTCAATTCAGTATGAAAAGTAGTATCCAAATGATCAAAATTGACATTAGAGACATTTATGATATTCCATTGCCAAAGAAGGGAGATTTCTTATCGAGTCTTCCATCAGGATTTGGGACCTTTGGAAGATGCCCATCACTCCTCAGCTTTACCTCTACATCTCCCTGGGTATGGAGGTAATGATCACACCAGTTCACCTCTGGTAGAATTCTAGGAGGCGTCCTTCAATCTTTGTGTGTCCGGGGACCTATTAGCTTTCTGTTGGGTCACAGGAGATGGTCTCTACTTGTGATTTAACAGGCAGGGTACACACTAGTATGCCTTTTTGAGTAAAAGTTCCACATATCCAGCACTGTTAAATTCAGTGTGGTCTCCCCTATGTATGCTTTGCAGTATGCAGTATGTGGTAGCCTAAGATAGAAGTATTGTAGTCTGGTTGATATGGCACTGGATGGCCCATGGAAAGTGTAGGCCCTGTTGCTTCCTCTGGAGTACACAGGTCATGGGTCAATAGGCTTGTATCTATGCACACTGGGCAGTGACAGGTGTCTGTGAGATGCTTCTCTGAAAGTAGCTTTGTGGAGTATAGTGCCTTTGTGTATGCACTGAAGTTCTCAGCTGGCTGCTTTGGGTTATCCTCAGGAAATGCCCTCTGTGGGTCTGAGTTTGAGTAGGAATTGAGTTAACTAGAAATTCTGGGCCCCACAGCATGTACTCTACTAGAGGTGCTGAGGCACTAGGGCTACTTCCTTGGTTGCTGTGGCTTTCTCATCAGCCAGTGCTTGTTTGTCAGCCTAGAGGCCCAAGTCTGTGTGCCTGAGGGTGCTGCATCTGCTTCTGGTTTCTGTTGGGTGTGGGAGGCACAAGGTGCAGTAATCAGAGCTGTCACTGACTGAGCCTCTACTCCCCTCCACAGGGATTTCTTTATAATGGCACAGAGCACAGTGGTTGTCTACGACTGTGGGGCCTATACAAGCAGACTTTCTGTGAGCAAACTGTGGCACAGAAGCCTCCACCCTGGATGATGTACATCACCTGGGTTTTACCCATCACTGTGACAGGCATGCGGCATTATTGGCTCATCTTTGCCTGAGCTCTGGTGGAGGCTGTGGGGAGCATTGGGTTGGGGCTGGCACTGCCCAGGAGTGGTTAGCTCTTCAGTCAGCTCTATCCTACTCCCCTTGTCCGTGGTGAAGGGGATTCATAGCTGTCAGCTAGCAGCAATCCCTCTAGATGGATTACTGAGACGACACATAATACTTTCAGAAGTATTATCTGTGGTTGTATATCTATAGGTGGGGAGAAGCTGTGTTGATTTGATTTCTTCTAGGGAGGTGGCCAGCTGTGAACTCTACACAGTGGCTGCCCTGCACGGCACAGCTTTCTGCCTGCAATTTGGGCTAAACTGTGTGCCGTCCTTCATTGTCTTTGCTGCTCCTGCCCTGTTTTAACTTGCTCTGCTTTTCTTTCGAATTGTTGTTAAGGAAATAAGCTTATGGCCTTTTCCTCTCTCTTCTTTTCTTGGTAAGCTTTTCTTTTGCTGCTTCATTTCTGGGCTGTGGAGGAGTTGAGGATTGCTACCTAGATCCTCTCTACCAGCTTCCAAATCCTCTCACCAAATAGATCTTGTTTTTAGATTTTTCTCTGGAAACCTAAAAAGATTTTACTTAATTCTAAAACAAAAAATGTAAAATAAAAGTAAAGAAATATGCTCCTTGAGTTCAGTTGGTGTTTTTGTTCTGTGATATTGGCATTTTTGCTCTGAAATTATTGTGAGTATAATATTTGATGAACCAAATATTGTCTTTACTATCCTTAAGAACTAGAATTCTCATCATGAGGAACAGGAGATATGAATGTTAGAAGACATTGTCATAAATGAATACACTTGAATTGTAAGTATATCAGTATAAACTCATGTAATTCATCATGTCAACAAGCTAAAGAAAAAATATAAGATGGTCTCAGTTGATGCAGTAAAGCATTGACAAATTTGGCACTCATTGATTAAAAAAAAAGCTCAGCAATTTGGAAATTAGAAAATTGGCAAATAATGTGAACATTCATTTCATCAAATACATGTGGTAAACAAACACATGAATAGGTGTCCAACATCATTGGCCTTTAGGAAAATATAAACACACAATGACATATCAAAATGGCAAAATAAAAAAAGGTGGTAACACTGAATGCTGGTGGAGAAATTTGATCACACATTCATAACTAGTAGGAATGAAAAACTGCTAGAAAGCAATTTTTCAATTTCTTATGAAACTGAATATATGACTTCCATATAACCCAACAGTTGCACTTGTAGGCATTTATTCTAGAGAATGAAAATTTATTTGTATCTTACAGAAACTTGTATACAAATATTCACAGAAGCTTTTTTGAATAGCTAAAATGTAGAAAAACCCAGATGTCCTTCACTGGGTTAAACATCCATGCCATAGGGGCTGGGGCTGGGGCTGTGGCTCAGTAGCAGAGCACTTGCCTAGCACGTGTAAGGCACTGAGTTTAATCCTTAGTAGCACATAAAAATAAATAAACAAAGGCATTGTGTTCATCTACAACTAAAAAAAATTAAAAACAAACATCCATGCCATGAATACTGCTCAGCAATGAAAAGAAAGGAACTATGGATACACACTACAATCTGGATGAATCATCAGGAATTATGCCATGTTAAAAATAAACAACCTTAAAAGGTCGAGTACTGTAGGATTCCATTTATATAATGGTCTTTAAAGTCATACTTACAGAAAGGAAGAACAGATGCATAGGGATGGTTAGGGACAGGTGTTGCTAAGAAAGAGCCTCAGGAAGATCCTCTTGATTGGGTAGGAAATGTTCTATATTTTGACTGTATCAATGTCACTATCTGGGATGTGATTAATTTTTTTCCCCAATTGTCATGCTTTCTCTCATTCTCTGTCAGGACCTGATGCGATTTTATGATGAGGATCCAAAGCCAACACTACCTCCTTCCATTATCTCTTCATCTAGGTGGTTGTCAGAAGGACAAGCAGAAGTTTGCAGTCTCTGGGATGCAGGTAATTTGGCTAAGGAATATGTAGTTTATTCCAAAACATGACCAAGAAACACCGGGAGGAATTCTAAATAAATAAAAATTTTATTTGGTGAAATATAGCAATAGTTGACTTTTATTTAATGTTGATAATGAAGAACAGGATTAGTATTCAATACCCACATAGTCCTATAATCTTATTTTATCCATTGTTTCAATGTTTTTCCTTCACTTTTTTTCTTCTTCTTTGTTGTTTTAAAAATGACTACACACCTTAAATATTTTATGAATGGTTTTAAAAAAGCAGAAAATTAATTTTAGTTTCTTATTTTCATTAACTTTTTTGTGGGGGTGGTACCAGGGATTGAACCCAGGGGCACTTGGCCACTGAGCCACATCCCTGGCCCTACTTTGTATTTTATTTAAAGACGGGGCCTCCCTGCGTTGCTTAGCACCTTGCTTTCGCAGAGGCTGGTTTTGAACTAATGATCCTCCTGCCTCGGTCTCATGGTGTGCTACCACGCCCGGCTCATTAACTTACTTTTGATGGAGTTTAATTTATGACATCTTTCAAAAGCAAAAACTAAACAAAAAGTGAAAAGCCAAGATGCTTATCTATCCCACAAATTGGCCAATCATCTAGAATAAATAACATTAGAAAAAGGCACAATATAAAATTATACAAAACTAGCCTCAAATAAATTATACTATTGCATTTCAGCTCTGCTGCTCCCCTAGATCCTATAGGATCTGATCACCAATTGAGCCACTTCATCCTGTATGTTCTTCATGAACTATCAATTTGCAATACGTATTTCCTCTTCATTTTCTCAGAAAGTAGGTGGAAGGTCTGCCCAGATGAGAGTGGAACAATATCATTAGTGCCTTTCATTTTCTTTTTTTTTTTTTGCTTTTGTGTTCATCCAGACAGCCTTTCCCTTATTACAGAAGTGGCTCCTCGTGTTTTGAGTCCCATTTTCTCCATCTTCTTGGACCATGCATCTCAAACTTTCACTTTATATAGAGCCTCATTATTCAAAATATAAAAGCTGTAATATATTAGTATACACTGATTTTACAAGTTCACATTTATATAAAGTTTTCTTACAAAGCCAGTTGTGAGAACAGCATGCATATTTTAATAACACAAAACCAACAAATCAGGGTTTATGGTATGGTATGATATTTGTATAAGGCTGGCATGCTCATGGATAATTATTACAAATGATTATAATATAGTAGACAGTTTGCTTAGTATCCTTATAACACACACAAAGTAAACAGATCTCAAATCAGAAGTTTGAAAGAACAAGTAAAGAAATTGTTTGATTTTCTAATTTAGCCTAATATTTTTCCCTGCTAAAACTTAAAAAATAGACTTTAAGAGCAGTTTTAGAGTCACAGCAAAACTGAGTGGAAAGTAGAGTTTTCATGTATGCCTTTCTCCTCTTAGGTATAGCCTCCCCACCATCAGTGTAACACACCAGAGTGGTACATTTGTTATAATTGATGAACCTACATCAATACACCATTATCTCTTTAAGTCCACAGTTTATATTAGAGTTTACCGAAGCTTCTATGGGGTTGAACAAATGATATGCATACTCTTTTACAGTATCATTACAAAGGAGTTCCCCTGCTCTAAAAATCCTGTGTACTGCCTAGTCATCCCTCCCTCCTCCCACCCCTGGCAACACTGATGTTTTTATGGTCTCTATAGTTTTTTTCTTTTCTGTAATGTCATAGAATTGAAATCATGTGTAGCCTTTTCAGATTGACTTCTTTCACTTAGTAATATGCATTTAAGTTTCCTCCACATCTTTTTATGGTTTGATAGCTCATTTCTTTTTAGTGCTCAGTAGGAATGTACCACAGTTTATTTATTCATTTACCTACTGCAAGACATCTCGGTTACTTCCAAGTTTTGGCAATTATGAGTAAAGCTGCTTTTAAACATCTGAAACAGGTTTTTGGGTGAACATAAGTTTTCTCCCTAACATTTAATACAAGTGAAATTGAATATATATGAGCATCAAAGTCAACCCACCCTACAGAGGAAAAAGGTCACAAAACGCATTGCCTGAGGGATGCTTCCACCATTTTACTTGTCAGGACTAAGTAAAATAGGGGCTTTTCCTATTTTTAATTCTTTTTTTTTTCTCTAGTCTCTCCTTAACACCGGTCTTGTTAAAATGCAGATCCTAGCATTTCCTTCCCAGCTTAAAAGCTTTCAGCATTTCTCTACTGCCAAAGGATAAGTCTGATTTTTTTATACTGTCATATAAAACTTTCATCATCTGGTCCAATCTTTCTGGGCATCACCCAAAACTGTCAATATTCACTATGCTTTGTGACACTCCATTACTCATGGAGTTTCTTCTCTTTAGAACGTTTGTTCCAGTTACCTTGGCTATGTAACATATTACCCTAAAACTTTGTAATGTAAAAGAAACATTTATTTTGCTCCTGGATTCTCTGGGTCTGGAATTAGGACAGGGCACAGTAGGGTTGGCTTGTCTCTGCTCCATGATGTGTATCTGAGCCTCAGCCAGGGGATTCCAATGCTGGGACAGGGATCAGCTGAAGGCTGCTCTTTCACGCATCTGACAGTTGCTGCTGGCTCTCTGCTGGGGGCCTCAGTTCCTCTCCACATGAGTCTCTTCGTGTGGTCTTTCCACGGGGGGTTAGTCTGAGTTTCCTCACAGCATTGGTAGTGAGGACCCACTAGGAGCCAAATAATCTTGGAAGTCATGCTGTGATACTTGAAGTCATTCTGTTGATCAAGGAAATCACACAAACCCGCCCAATATCAAGGGAGAGGGACATCAACCTCCACCTCTCCATGGAGGAATGTCAGTGTCATACTAAAAGAAAAACATATTGGATGGGATGTACATTGCCACAGTCATTTTTGGAAAATATAATCTGTCATAATCTTCCACCTAATTATACATGCTTGACAAAATCCTATTCAAAAAAGCAAGGCCCAGTGAAAATGTCAGCACTGCTACAAAATTTTTTTATATACTATATCTCCTTTCAATATGTTCCCACAGGCCTTTTCACATGTCTCTATTACAGAATTTATAAATTTGTATAATAGTTTTATAAATTGTATTCACTTTAAATTACATAAGTTAATAAGTGAATGTAACCTTACTTTTAAAAATTCAAACAATATAGATAAAGCTAATCCCCCCCCTTGACTGTCCCTTATCCCACAATCCCCTCTAATGGGTTAACTGTTAGCAATTCGGTGGTTATTTTCTAAACCTTTCTCTATGCATTTACATACATATATTAAGAAGCACTTAGAATTGACTTTGTTTATAATATTATTCTGTATTTACCCAAAACTTTTATTAAACTTATGAATATCACTTGACTGTCTTCAATGTGTGTTGATATTTACAGATTTACCCTGGCTTGTTTTTTTAACTCCAGTAGGGCCAGGATATTATAGTTTCTGCTCCTACTGATAGAAATTTGGGTGTTTTATATTTTTTCTATTATGTATATATAGCTTCAGTGAATGGCCTTGTACACATTTGTGAATGTTTCTTTAGGGTGGGTCCTTAGAAATGGAATCTCTGGGCCATAAAGTATGCCAATTTCCATTTAATTAATGCTGTTAAATAGCCTCTCAAAATGTCAGTGCCAGTTTGCACTCTGGCTTGCAGCATATGAGAATAACTGTTCATTCACACCCTTGCTAGCACTTGATGTTTTCAAGCCTTACATTTTTATCACTTGGATAAAATTTCCATTGCATAGGAGGGTATAATTTGCTTATTTCCACATATCAGTTGGGTATTTATATTTCCTCCTCTATGGACTGCCTATTTATATAATTAACCTGTTTTTCTTTTGGATTGTTTGCTGTTCAAGTGAATGGATTTTTGTGTATGCTCGTGCATGCACACACACACATTCTCACACAAATCTTTTATCTGAAGTTATGTTGCAGATATCTTGCAGGCTATGAATATCTTTCGGCTTTCTTAATGGTGTCTTCATAGAAGTTTTGTTTTATATCACCACTCTTTTCCTTAATACTGAGTGTGTGTGTGTATGTGTGTGTATGTATTCTTTTTAGTTATATATGGCAGTAGAATGTATTCTGACATATTATACATACATGGAGAACAACTTCCCATTCTTCTGGTTGTATAAGATGTGGTGTTTGTGTGTGTTTAAGACAGTTTTCCCTATACCAAGTTTATAGGATATATTCCCTCATATTTTATTTTAATTGTTTGAATTATTTAATTCATCTGGATTCAAAGTATTTGTGAATGGCTTTAGATAAGGAGAGTGGGCAGCCAGTTGTCTCGTAACACTTATTCACTAATCCATTTTTCTATTGTTTTAAAATGACTCTATGATACAAACTAAATAGTGTCTGTTTAACAACTCTATTCTGTTCCATTGATCCTTTTTTCTGTTTCTGATCTGTTTAACTTTTTGTAACTATTATACCACTGTTATATTAATATATTCTATTTTACTTAACTAATATTGTATTTGTTATGGTTTAGATCTAGAATGTCCCTAAAAGCTCATGCATGGACTTTGTTCCCAATGCAGCAATGTCCAGAGGTGGGGCTTTTAGGAAATAATTGGATCATGCAGATTCTAACTTCCATCAGTGGATTAATTCATTTGATGGATTTATAATTTGTACAGACAACTGGGAGATGGTAGAAACTATAGCAAAAGGGGGCATGGTTGGAGGAAGCAGGTCATGGGGGGTGGGGGGCGTGCCCTTGGGGACTATATCTTGTTCCTGACCCCCCCACACTTGCTTCCGGATGCCATGAGCTGACCAGATTTTGATACCCATGATGCCTCACTTCATGCCCAGAGCAATGGAGCTAGCTGACCGTGTACTGAAACCTCTGAAACCATGAGCCAAAATAAACATCTTTCTCCAAGTTGTGTCAGGTATTTTGGTCACAGCAGTGAAAAGCTGACTAATAAATATTAGTGATCACTTAGGTTATTTCCATATTTTTACTGTTATAT